CCAAACCTCTACCTCTCTCTCTCTCTCTCTCTCTCTCTCTTCTTTTTCTCTCTTAAATGATACATATTCTCACTATGAGAACCTGGACAAATGGTGCAGGGCTAAATGGTAGGGATGATGTGCTCCCAATTTATATTGGTGATGATAGGACCGATGAAGATGCATTCAAGGTGACACTACCATCTCTGCATTTTTACTAATCTTACTCACAAGAGTTTGTAACATTGACACTAAATATAAAATCTCCATACATTGTTTCAGTTCTTGAAGAAGAAGAAGAAGCGTGGTTATGGAATTCTGGTGTCGCCGGGTCCAAAAGAAACCAGTGCCTTCTACTCTCTCAAGGACCCATCAGAGGTTTTACTCTCATCCTTAATATGTATAATGTATTATATGTGAGGGATGTTAGCTGTGTTATTTTTAATTTCATCTCAAAAAATCCATTGCAATTTTTATGCAGGTCATGGAATTTCTCAAGTCCTTAGTGAGATGGAAGGAGGAGGAGGAAGAAGCCAATTAAATGCTAAGGGAGCACTTAGTTTATCTGAAATATAGTATAATAGGCATTTAGTTTTTTTTATAAGTTTTGTACTCCACAAGAACTCAAGGCTGCTAAAAGCAGCTGCTTTTATTTTACAACCTCAGTTGTCAGTTCAGAGCTTCTCAGTCATTTTGTTATTTCATGTCTTTGGCTTATAAAAAAATAAGTATTTTCTCCCCGTTTTCACCTTTCAAAGCTTTCCTTACCAAGATGGTTCCTTTTAATCTTGTAAGACTTTATGGAATGTCACAAACTGTTTCAGTGTACTGCACAAAAACTTCTCAATTCTATTTCACTTTGGAGATCCTGCACTTCTGGGATTTAAAATTCGACAACTTACACGTCAAAACCGTATGTCGAAAAGATATTATTGGGGTTAAATTACGTACAACTACATCGAAACCAATCAATTTTCAACCAAGCAAAGTGAACAAAACTTGAAGATTAGCAGAAGAACAGTTTTTTTTGTTAGAAAGATCAGCAAGGCAGCAATCCAATTTCTCAGTTTTGTAAATTTGTACCACACTTGGTTGGCATTTTGGACTTGATCACTTAACCCAATACTGAAATAACTTGGAAGCTTTGCAAAGGCCCATTGTACTTCATAAAAAACAATCAAATGGGGTCGCAAAACAAAACACAAGCTCCCAATACTTGCCTAGCGGAGAATACAATAGGACTTGTCTTGTCCCTATATCCGGTCTCTCTCTCTCAACTAAAAAATACCTCAAATGATCGTCCTTGTTATTATCCATCTATATCCATTATCCGACTTCTTATGAAGTAC